ACAACTTTTTCGAGAAAAAAATTTTTGTCCGGATTTAAGTGGCGGACCCTGTATAATATGCATGTGGTTAGGATACACACTTTTTGCAAATTTTGAAGAAAAATACAAACAAATACTTACCCACTTTATCCCACAAAAGCAGATATCCATTCTCCGTAACTGCTATCTTATTCTGATCTTTAATAATCAGATATCTCGCTAACTCAATTTCGATGTCAGACGACATTTTACTTCCCGCCAAACAATTACCTTCTTTTCCCTATGTAGCGAGGAAGGGAAAAATAGGCACTCTCAAAGTAGGTCAAATGTGTTTTCGAACGCAACAATCGAGAGTTCACGGAGAGTTCTCAAAGTGTTTTCGAACGATCCTCGGAAGATTAAAGGCACTCGAGGAATGTTTTCGAACGCAGTCCAGTGGCTTCTCCCCCGCAACTATATGCTCCGTCTCTATATTCCTATGTCCATGCCATAATATGGAACGCGCCTTGCCATTGTGCGAGCTGTCCGCAATAGAGAGCATCACAACTAGGATCTCTGACTTTGTCTCGTCGTCGCTGATTGGTTGAAATTTATACGAGTACAGTCCAAGACAAAAGAACAACAAAAAGTAAAGAATGACTGCGTTTAGTCATTGGGTGCGTTCAGACAACTCAACGGTTGAGAGATCATCACTTATGATAGGACTATTCTTCAAAATCTGCTGCGGTTCTAAAAGTATGATCCAATCAGAAGTGATTATCTCTCAACCGTTTTACAACTGTTGAGTTGTCTGAACGCACCCATTCAGTCACTCAGCAATTGCTGAGCGCTGATTTCTGTTGAACGCAGTCATTCTTTACTTTTCGTTGTTCTTTGTCTTGGACTGTACTCGTATAAATTTCAATCAATCAGCGACGACNAGACAAAGACAGAGATCCTAGTTGTGATCATGGACGTATAATATATAGAATGCGCGTTCCCTACCTTTGCCATGTTAAGAAAATGTCTTCAACGTTGAGAGAGACAGCTGGTGTTGAATAGTAGCCTCTTCTTTGTCTAGCAAAGTAGTGGGGGAAAAAGAAGTCTTCGCTGATTGATAGAATAGTAGTGGAAAAGTGGGGATAGAAAAATAGTGGGGGTAAAGAAGAGTGAAAGAGATTAAGAGGTGATGGTAGGTTAAGAGCCGTCTACAATGAAGAGTTGTAGGCCGTAATAGTAAGAAATTGACCAATCACAGACAAAGTACAGAAGAATAATCGATTGTGATTTGTCAGTTTCTTACTGTTACAGTCTAAAACTCTCCATTGTAGACGACCCTTTAGGTGGTATGAAACAGTAGGCCCTAATCCCACCACAGACATTGATAGACAGAGAAAGAGTTACTATTCAAAGTATGTTGTCTCTCTCAACGTTGAAGACATCTTTTCAGCCAAACGCGCAGTCTATATATTATACGTCTATAGTTGTGATGCTCTCTATCGCGGACAGCCGCACCAGAGAGAAGCCTGAGAGCGGCCATGCCATTGTAGTTTCTTACGACGGTTTCAACCGCTGGTTTTAACCGTATTTCCACAAAAGTGGAATTCAAAGGCCGTTCTACATTAAAGGCAAGTATCAGATCTCGTGAAATTGACCAATTGCAGAGTCAAATCAGTCAATCGACCAACGTGATTGATCAGTTCCACGAGACCTGCGACTTGAGTTTCATGGAGAACGGCCTTTGAGTTCCACTTTTGTGGAAATACATATATGTAATACTTCTATATTGCTAGTACGGTGCCGACCTGAAGCCCAAATGTTACGGTGCAGACAATATAGTAGCCTTTCTCTCGCGCAAGGTCCAGCTGCTTTGTGCGCATGCGGTGAACATTCAAGCACGCTTGGGCATTTCTCTTTCTCGCGTTCTTTCTCTCACTTTCCAATGCTTTGTCTCGCTTGCACTCGCTTAGTAGACTCGCCTGCGCATAATGACGCTCGACTATCTATGCCCATATTTGGACTTCGTGCGTTTCTCTTTCTCGGGCCTCGTGCCTCTCATTGCGAAGATACGCGACTAACAATATAGAAGTATTATATATATGTAGTAATACGGCTAAAACCAGCGGTTGAAACCGTCGTAAGAAACTACAATGGCATGGCCGCTCTCAGGCTTCTCTCTGGCCGCACAATAGCCATAGACATCTATAATATACTAGACTGTGAGGCTCCTTAAGGGTCGTCTACAATGGAGAGTTTTAGACTGTAACAGTAAGAAACTGACAAATCACAATCGATTATTCTTCTGTACTTTGTCTGTGATTGGTCAATTTCTTACTATTACGGCCTACAACTCTCCATTGTAGACGGCTCTTTATGTATTCCCTAGATTTCGTGTACCAATAAGCCATGTACTTCTGAGCCGCTTAGGCGGCGGACTTAATAATAGATTGGAATGTGAAATGTTAAATTTTTATGTTGTACGTCAATGAGTATAATGATCACGTGTATTGCACGATCCCCGCAACACACGTAAACTGCGAAAAATACGTACAATCTTCGTGATATTTGCAATCTTGTGTTTTCAACCGTGTTTTGTTGAATTGTGTCAGACTCGCAGTTATCTATCGAGATAACAATATGAGATGTGCAGTAAAGCAGTGCATAAATATATATAAAAAAGGATGCGGCATACACTTCTTTTCGTAGTAACCTAATCTTATTTTATTAACAGATAAATTCAGCATTATATAAAGTTCAATATTTATTAAATGTTTTAGATTTCCCAAAAATGAAGAACTTTTAGCACAGTAGATAGCAGCAATACAACGAGCTAATTGGCAACCATCAAGTGCCAGCAAAGTTTGCTATCTTCATTTTGCACCATCTGATTTTAGTGAGAACGAACCGGGAATAACAAGAAAGCTTTTAAAAAAAATGCTGTTCCTACAATACATTTAGGACACAATAAAGAAGGTTACATAATCAACACAAATATATATTTATATAATGATATATGTACATAGTAATTTATATATTACTTTCCTGTATTTTTATTAAATCTAGATACTTCTGTAATATCAAAAGATGAAGAAGAAAAAACAAATCTGTTACCAATTTGATAATACCTTCATTTATGAAATATGGTAATTATATCTAAGAAAACTATAATTAATAATTATACTTAATCTTTATTTTTTTTTTAATCTAGTATTTATAAAATAATTTATATATTGCTAATTTTGTGTGTTTTATTTAATTCTAGAAACTTCTCTATCAAGAGATCAAATGGATCAGGAAGATTGTAACATTCAGTCAATTCCCCTAATTGTGGAATCAGGTAATTTTATATATAAAAACTTTTTTGCATAATTTACACACACACACACACACAATATATATATATATATATATATAATATATATTTTAAATGTAACCTTTTAATTGCAGAAACAATTATGTTAGATACATCAAGAAAACGAAAATCATGCAATTGCAATTATTATTCAGCTAAAATTATACAATTAGAAGAGGAGAACAAGATATTGAAAGAAAACCAAGAAAAACAAAATACAATGTTTAATGAGATAATTGCAGAAACAAATAGATGATCATGTTCAAGAACTTGAGAAACAAAAAACAATATTTAATATCTTACTTAAAAAAGAAAAAGAAACACTGCAAAAAAAGTTACATGCAGTATATACAAAAGCGAAACTATTAAGCAAAAAGACAAAAAGAAAAGAGATAAAATAAAATCTTTATCCATGTTACTTGATACACTAAAAGAAAAAAATCTAATTATGCCAACAACTTTTAATACCTTAAAGCATGAGTTTTCTGAAAATTTTCAGTCAATTTTATTGAGTGAATTCCAAAGTGAACAACAAAGGTAAATCGACGCATGCAAGACGCTATGTGATGAATTGAAACGCTTTGCTTTAACTCTGCATTATCATAGTCCACAGGCTTATAAATTTTGTCGGTTAGCATGGTGTTTGTAGTCATTCCTTCTTATGTTATACGTATCTCACAGAACAAAATCTCCATTAAATATATTAAATATTGCATAAAGCTATTGACGTCTAATGAAGTTTTTGTCCTGTATGATATTGATGTATATATAATTACTGTCTTTTTTATATTTCATATTCTTATCTTATTCTTATCTTTTACCTATTTATATTATTTAAGTTTATTATTTTCCTTATAATCTGAGTGAAATTGTTTTATTATATACTCTGAATGCAATATAGCATATGTATATGCTAACAGATTTTATATATATATATATATATATATATATATTAAGATAGATAAATTAAAAGTATATGAAAATTTTGCATTAATATTATTATTTTAACATTTTTTTTACAGAATCATCATGAAATTACCTCATTCATCATCATTAAGATACTGGACTTCTACAGTAGACATTAATCCGGGCTTTTTATCTAAAGTACTAGAAGAGTTAAAGAAACTATCATGTTAAGATAAAAATTGTTGTTTAATATTTGATGGAATGTCTATTCGGAAACAGGTATGTTGGAGTGAAGTAGATCATAAGTATGTGGGTTACTGCGATTATGATAATAATTTTAACTTCGAAACAGAGGCGACAGAAGCATTAGTATTTACGTTAGTAAACATAAAAGGTAAATGGAAATGTCCTATAGCATACTTTTTTAAAAATGGAATGTCATCTTCAACATTAGCAGAATTAATCAAGACTGCACTAATATTAACATCTAATGTAAACTTTAAAGTAAGAGCTATTACATGCGATGGCGTAAGTGTTAATATAAGTGCCTTGCATAGTTTAGGATGTAAGCTCTTTTCCTTATAATCATGAAGATATTGTAAATTACTTTGATCATCCTAGTGAGCATTATAAAGTATATATTATATTGGATCCCTGTCATATGCTAAAGTTAGCACGTAACGCTCTTGCTGATTATACAGAATTCTGGGATGAACATAAAAGTACAAAGTGGAATTATATTGTTAATTTGCATAAAGTTCAAACTCAAATGACATAAATTAAAAAACAAATTAAATCCTCAGTGCATTTTTTGGCAACAAAATAAGATGAAAGTGAAATATGCGGCTAACACACTTAGTGCCTCTGTAGCAAATGCCATCGATTTTTTAAGAAAAGAAGGTTTAGATGATTTCAAAGATAGTGAGAGTACAACAAAATTTATTAGAATTATAGATAGATTATTCGATTTTTTAAATACAAGAAATCCATTTGGAAAAAATTATAAACAACCTATCACAAGAAATAACTTTCACTATCTTCAGGAAATGATACAAAACAGTGTACATTATTTATTTTTATTAAAATGTAAAGACGGGACATTTTTAAAAACATCTAATAGAAGAACATTTCTTTATGGATTTGTGATAGCTGCTAAATCAATATTATCTGTCGCTCATGATTTATTATATTGTAGTAATACATTGTATAAATATATATTGTCATACAAGTTTTCTCAAGACCATTTGGAATTATTGTTTGGTAAAATTCGAAATTGTAATGGTCAAAACAACAATTCAAATGTACTACAGTTTCAGTATACCATGAGAAAACTGTTACTTCGTAATAACATAAGAAATTCAAATGACACAAATTGTTTACAATTAGATACCGATCCTGTTGGGTCCTTATTTGAATTGACTTGGCCAAAGAAAACAAAAGAATTTACATTATTTGAACAAAACATAGAAACAGATAATGATGACTTAAATAACAATACAAAAAACTCAAAAGTTATTATAAAACCCTTACAAGAAAACATAATATATTATATTGGTGAATATATAATAAAAACATTTAAATCTCTTAAGTGTTTTTCTTGTGCAAAAGCACTTACACAACAAACTATAGAACATAATTATACACATATTAAAACTTATACTAAGTTTTACGACTTTAACAATAACGGACCCAGTAAAAAATTTTCCATGTATAAAATTGTATGGACATATTCGGTATATATATATATATATATATAT